CACGGCTCAAAACATACGCTCTTGAGTCCTTATTTATTCAGAGACGCAAAATTAAAACCGACTTATAAATACCCCTACTTCATGCCGATACAGTAATTGTATTGTCATTAGCGGCAAGTAATAAACCAGAAACGTAGCGTACACCATGTTTCTTTTTTTTTTTTTCGAGCACTCATTTTTTTTTACATTTTGCCCATTAAATTTTGTTTTTCATGAACTTTTTGAATTCGTGATATGAGTCGCCTCGTGTTATATCAGAGTCCAGGGCATTGGCGCCCTTTTCAACATAAGGACAACGACTTGAATTGGTAAATTTCTTGAATTCAAGTTGCGCACGGAAAAAGAAAAAAAAAACGTATACAGTAATTGGGGTGACTAAAAACAATTTCGTTGTTATGTCCCTTTGTTGAATCTTAGCTTGGGGGAGGTAACTGGCTTTGTGACGCAACTTCCGGGTGTGAGTGTAAAACGAGAGTAGATCTTCTTCCGTGTATCATCGTCATGGTGGGTGTTGTCCTAAGATTTTCATGTGTTATACTTTACAATTTTGTTCCAAAATGGTAGATAGTTTCTGTTAGATTCCTCGATGACCACTGTCTTTTCAGTCAGTAGACTCTTGCTTTATTTGACAGTTGTTATCGTCGTTGTTTTACGGAGATTAGTCAATATTGCCAGACCGGTAGTTCTACTGATCCCTTCCCACACCTCTCCGGTCCAGTTTCCTGGGTTCTCTTGCCTCAAACTCTACATCAACTTAAAAAGTAATTCTGTCATGATCACCCATATATACCGAGTTGAGGGTTGGAGTTATGGGTAAAGGTACCCACTTTTTTAAAGGTAAATATGATGGGATAGTGTCAGTTGGTGCACTGACCTTTCTTGCTAGACACTCATCAGTCAACAAAGTAAAGAGTCAAGTGTTTGTGGTTGTTGATGATCACAGTTTTGAAGAAAGGATGTGAATCATTGTGAAGGAGTGGAGAGTGTAAACATTTCATTCCAAATGGTCTAAGAATGGATATCCATTAGACAACCTTTATTTAGGCATATAAAGTATAAATTGTATTGATCTTGAAAGTTGCCCCCGTTATAACTTAGATCATTGTGTAATTTCTCCCCTAACAAACACATATTGATAGAATCTATACATTGGGCATGATTGGGCTTGGGAACAAAACAAAGAAGCTAAAGTAGAGACGTATTGAGGACTCTAGGTGGCTTTGCCATTTGTTTACCTACTGAGACACTGATGAGTAGAAACTAAACTACCCCGTCGATTGATGCCATACTTCCCATTCCTATAGTCTTATTTTCTACATTATGTTGTCCTATAAGAACGTTTGCACCATGCGTAAAGATTTGAGTTACGGATTAGATATAAACGTCTTTATATTTGTTAGTTATTGTTGAGAGGTAAAGTTAGGGATGACGAGTAGGGTCATGTCGATTTTGAATAATTTTGGTAAATGAACACCCCTAAACTAGACCCTAGAGTCTTAGAGGGGAAAGAGGGAGGGCAGAAAGGCTTTGGGACGTTCCCCACCCCCACCTCCCTTTCAAATGAAATTTTTTTGTTTTTAACTTATTTATACATCTTTTTATTCTGTTTGGAGGCCAGAAATACAGTGAGTGTAACATGTGTCCTCGCCACTTACCTCACTAAATGAAACAGCAGGCCTACTGCTTTTGTGCACTCGTTATGTCATTGAATCATTTTCTTCTGCGGGCAGACATTTTTATAATCTTCATCCATGGAAAAAGTGTCTAGATTCCAGACAACTGTCAATAAAGTGAAATATGTTCCTTTATTTTATCTTTTGTCCTGGGCTTGAACGTTTCTGGTCACAATGTTTCGCCTAGGAGGTAAGCTAGGCAAATTGTGATGTTATACTTGCTTCATTTGCTCATAGTCGAGCTGAAAAACTTGCATGGATTGCATGAAATAAATGTAAAGAATTACAACTGAAAAATAAGGAACAAATTTCAGTTTAAGGTGTCCTTAATATTGAGGTAAACATGTTCAAGTTTGGCATGCTGGACTAACTTTAAATTTAGTATTTAATGCGTGTATGTATAATCTGAATATCTTCATGACATGGTTACGTTGTACATGTAACTCAACATGTAAATAATATATCATGCAATATAAATTACTATGTGTATGCATTTTCACTCCTAACAGGCGGCCACATTAAAGCCTTACCTGAATGCTGTGAAGGAAACTCTGAATGCTGCAATATGCCTTCAGAACTTCGACTCTCAGATGGTAGAGAGGCACAATAAGCCAGAGGTAGAAGTCAAGTAAGTAAAAATATATTTCACGCCAGCTAGTATTGTCTCGTTGAAATGACTGATAATTAATTGTTGCTGTAGGTATACTCGTACACCATGCGTGGTGATTGCCATCTTGGGGTCTGCTTAGTGCTCTTCACAGCGTTCTAGAGAAGGTTTAACCGCCCCCCTCAAGGGCGGTGCCACTGACTGAAGTGTCTTTAGGCCATTCCCAAAGGGGGGACATTTCTAGTTCTTATAATGCCCAGTAGAATTGTAAATGGGCTGATTCAACTATGTCATGCTCATAACTGTGCCTGAACTACAACTGGGAACTGCTACGTTTTCTATTCTAATCCTTACTACTATTGTCATTTTCCTCTACTTCTTTTGTATGTTTGTCACACTCTTGTGACTCGCTATTTCCGGGGTGCCTTGAAAGTCGAAACAGACTTTGTACTGTTGAAGCTAGAGAGGTGAGCAGAGTAAGCCCGATTCCCTGTACGTACAGACTTCTCTGTTGACATTCACCCCTTGGTGCTCGTATGACCTTGTGCAGCTGCGAGCGCCATAAAACCTCTACTAAATTTTTTTAAATAAAAAAGAGAAGGTAGTTGAGGGCCCACTGGAAAGTCCTACTTAATTCCTTTTGCTCTGTTGTTTACCCCATTCTTTCTTGTTTTTTCCGTGCTCTAAATGACCATGATTGTGCAGATGTGCTTTTATTTACTCAAACAGACAAACAAATAGACATTCAGGGTTCTAGAAAATTCTACCATAAATTACTTCTTATCATGTACCAGTTACCAGGCATAGCAGTCCACATTTTTTCGAGCATTTTTGAGCATGTACCATGACAGTGAAAGTGTTATTTATTATAAAGTTGGACCTAAGAAATATAAAGTGTATATTTTTGTGTGATTACTTTGTGATTCTGATAAAGAGTTAAAATCTACACCTATTATTTGATTTTATTATACTAGGTATACTTTGTATATCCTTACTTGTTGTATGCTGTTTGAATCTACTACTCATTATATTTTTAATATATCCAGATTTCCTTAAATTTGCTTGAGACTAAAATACTTTTTTAATACGAATTCAGGAGCAGCAAAGAGCTTCTGCTCACACCAGTCATCATCAGCCGCAATGAGAGAGAAAAAGTTTTGATAGAAGGCAGCATCAACTCTCTAAGGATCAGCATTGCAATTAAACAGGTGTGTGTCCAAGTTTCAGTGTTTGTAAATTTGTGATTTTTGTTGTTGTTACTCCATCACTTTTCTGATACTTGTATAGAATCTTCATTGATTGTGGGTGTTTGTTTTGGTATTTTGGGTGGCGTGATGTGGTCAGTACTGTTCATCATATTTCCATTACTTTTCTTTCTACTTCTACAAAGTGGGTGGTTGGAGGACCGTGCTCTGGTGTGGTTTTCTTCTTCTTTCCTATCGAACATCTATCGTCCTTATCTCCCCTCCTTCTTTTTTATGTTTGTTACTCTCTTGTAACACCTCTAATCTTCTGGCGCTCATATGACCTTATGCAGTTGCGAGGGCCGTAAAACCTCTACTAAACTAAACTCCTTCTACTAACTTCCATAACTTTTTCGTGGGAGTGGTTTGGGGAAAGGGGTGATGGGGGGAGGGGTATATCTTTAAACATTTCAATATAGTGTTATATTAACAATGTTTAATCATCTAATGTGTGTTTCACTTAAGAATGTATCACATGATTTTAAAAAAAAACTTTACCATTCTAGAAATGCTTCAAAACGTTACATTGACTGACCTTTGTTACTTCTATATTCACAGGCTGATGAAATCGAGAAAATTCTGTGTCACAAGTTCACACGCTTTATGATGATGAGGGCTGAAAACTTTGCTATCCTGAGGAGGAAGCAAGTGGAGGTAAGAGAATCTTGGGACTCTTTTCCTTGATATTAATGCATGTTGCAGAGTGTTGATATGTTAAACCTGTACCATTTCACCATTACAAGCTGCAATTCCAAATTTTCTCTCTTGATAAGACCCTGTTAAACAATTTTTGTCCATTTGAGAAGTGAATTTGAATCTGTCTTTGACATGAAGCTAGGCTGTTGGGAATTATATTATAACACTTCACCTGTTTACAGAGTTTTAAGTGGGTGGTTGGCGGGTGCTCTGGTGTGGTTTGCTCCTTCTTTCCTATCAAACATCTATCGTACTTATCTCCCCTTCTTCTTTTTTATATTTGTTACTCTCTTGTAACACCTCTAATCTTCTGGCACTCATATGACCTTATGCAGTTGCGAGCGCCGTAAAACCTCTACTATAACAAAACAAAGAGTTTTAAAAGTAAAAGTAAATTTCATTCTAACATCGCACATCACAGATATATGAAGATGGGCTATATTGCTGACTTTTGCGTGGTTTATTTTTCAACGGGTTAACTCATTGAGAGCACACTTTGTCGTCATTGGTCAAGGCTTGAAGACACACTGCTCTGGAGTACTGTAAGAAACCAAGTATAACTTCCCCTTTTTCTGACAGATTTGTCAATGCTGTTTTCTTTCTCTGAAACTTACAAAGGCAGTCAACAACACGCTTTCTGTGAAATATGCAGTTTCATTTTCCTGATTTGTCTCTGATGGTTCCAAATGTGCCGAAACGTTGTCTTTGGTCTGTTGTTTATTGGACATATGTGTCTGCTACATCCTTGAAGAGTTTACGCTGCGTAATTTCAGCGATCACAAGGAGTTCAACTTGGAGTAACAAAACAAAATTTGTAGAAGGAAATATTCATGTCTGAGACAGCTTGAGTTGGGATGACTAAGAATTATATATATTGATATAACTGATGTCCTGAACAAAAGTTTCTGAGATTTTTTATTGAGAAGTCTGTTACTTTCATTTTGAATTTGTTGTTCTGTAATGAAATGCTTGAAAAGTTCTTTCTAGCTATTGCCAGTATTCGGCGTGTTAGAAAAAAATAAATACAACTGTTGATATTGTGGACAATTGACTATTGTTTTTTCTTCTAACTGCAATCATTTTACTAAAATAAAGTAACATGAGAGACAGTTGCTGAATCGTTTGATGTGGTCGTATCAAAATTTGCCCTTCTTCATCAGAGTTACCTCCTTTATTCTGGTGTGATGTCTCGTCCTTGCATGGCCTACCAAGTGTTTCAGGTGTTATGAAGCTTTGATTCATTTTTTTTAATGCTTCTTTTTTGTTGTTGTTGTTGTTTCTGTCAATAGGGCTATGACATCAGTTTCCTGATCACGAACTTCCACACAGAACAGATGTTTAAGCATAAACTAGTGGACTTCATCATTCACTTCATGGAAGAAATTGACAAAGAGATCAACTTCCTGAAGCTGGCCGTCAACTCAAGGGCTCGTATCAGTGCCGAGGAATTCCTAAAGAACTTCTAACATTCCTGGATTTTTAGGTCTTTTATTATAGTCCGGTAAGTACATTTTTATATCATTTTGTCATGATTTCTATGGTATCTGATGCAACAGTGACTTTTTGAGGTATAATGAAAAATTTAGGATGAACAGTCAAGAAATGTATGGAGAAATCCACACAGGTAGCTTATAGAATGCTTATATGATTGAAGTAAAAAAAAGTATGGGGAACTGTTTCTCCTGCCTATCGTGAAATAAGCTTGTAAGGAGTTGACAGTTGCCCACTTTTTGACTGATTTTTTCAATTTCCTTTTTATGGAAACAGTTGAATTTAATCAGTCAGAAAAGATGGCTATCCCCTATTTGAGACTGTCAAGACTAGCAGTAAAAGTAAATTTCTCGCAAACATCACAGCAACTCAAATGTGACCCCACTGAAAGTAGAGACTCCAAAGTGTGCACCTGGTCAAGTTAGTTCTAAATGGAGGACTAAAATTTACATTTATCTAACACATAGCTCCCTTTACGCATGACTTTCTCCTGAATTCTTTCTGGTAGTAAATTTGGAGCCATTCCTTCGCAGCTCTATAAATGACTGGAGGGAAATTTTGGAGAAAAGAAAAGGGCAATACCATCAAAAATATAAAATCTGCGTGAGCTTTCTTTGTTTATATGACCAAGTTAGGAAGAAATATAAAAAGGTCGTGATTGATGAAAGAATCTTTGACCAAAGCTGCCTATGCTGCATGTAAGAGGGAGGAAGGGGCAAATGAACAAATGAAGACAGACTTTCCACGTCCTACCCACTGTGACTTTCTTTTTGTGTTGTTTCCTCCTTCCTTTTCAGTATTCTGTTGTACAAAGTTGCTTCTAAGCACTTATCACTATCAACCATAATTATATTGGTAATAGCCGCACTCTGCACCCAACGGGGCATTCTTATTGGGTTTTTATTCACTTTTTTAGGTATTCCACCCACTTGGCTGAGTCGTATTGGGCTGTCCCTGTCGTTTTATGCAAGGAAAATTCTGAATTCATGCAAACTGAGCCCAAAAATGTGAAATTATGCGATTCTGTTAATTTTATCAAAGAATGGAAAGGAAAGTAATCAGAAATTAAGCAAAAAATGATCGAATTTTGCAAATTATGCGGGGTGCATAAAACCACGGGGACAGATTGGGCATTCCTCTCGGAGGTGATGCCTCTTTGATAACCTGACAGTGTTGAAAGGGGAGTTCAGTCTATACAATTTTCCCCCCCACTTGTTCGTTAGCGCAGTCGTTCCCCACTGGTCGCCTCTCAGAATGTGCCGTGGGAGACAGCAGTTCTCTTGTTGTTGTTCTTTGCTCTGATTGCTGTATGTATATTTTTTTACAAATTTTTGCTGCTTTCTGTGTGATACCCCCCGGGGCAGTGCCACTGACCGAAGTGTCTTTAGGCCATTCCCAAAGGGGGGATATTAACCATGTTCTTATGCACAGTAGAGTTGTAATTGTAAATGGGCTGATTCAACAATGTCATGCTCATAACTGTGCCTGAGCTGCAACAGGGAACTGCTGCTTTTTCTTTCCTAATCCTTACTATCGTCATTTTCCTCTACTTCTTTTGTATGTTTGTCACACTCTTGTGACCCGCTATTTCCGGGCTGTCTTGATAGTCGAAGTCAAAGCAGACTTTGTGCTGTTGAAGCTAGAGAGATGAGTAGAGTAAGCCTGATTCCCTGTTGGGACTTCTCTCTTGACATCCTCCCCTTGACGCTCATATGACCTGATGCAGTTGCGAGCGCCGTTAAAACTCTACTAAAGCAAAACTTTCTGCATGGACTCTAGGGTGATGATGTGGTTGTGTTTGGATGATGAGGGATTCTTTCTGTGGTCCACTTCACTTAAGTGCCTGTGTCAACAGCAGTGGTCTAAGTGTTTCATTGAAGTGTTTGTGCGTGGGTGGTTGGCGGGTGCTCTCGTGTGGTTTGCTCCTTTTTTCCTATCAAAAACATCTATTGTCCTGATCTCTCCTCCTTTTTTGTGTTTGTCACTCGTTTCTAACTCCTCTAATCTTCGACACTTATATGACCTTTTTGTGTTGCAAGTGCTGTAAAACTCCTACTGAAACTAAGTGTCTGTGCCTTCGGTGGTGGTCTAAGTATTATTGAAGTGGTTTTTTTCTAAGACTCAATTCTTAGGTACAGTCACACCCACTTGTTTGTACAGTCATGAACATCTTGGTACAGTTTTGTGTTTTCAATAGGAAATGTGTGGGTTTTTTTAATGGGATCATTATTGTGCAGGCATGTTGTATAGTACAATTCAAAAGACACTGCTCTGATTCATGTGCAAGGTTGAGAAATTTGTTATACCCTGTGGGTGGTTGGTGGGTGCTCTGGTGTGGTTTGCTCCTTCTTTCCTATCATACATCTGTCGTCCTTATCTCCCCTCATTCTATTTTGTGTTTGTTACTCCCTTATAACACCTCTAATCTTCGGTACTTATAAGACCGTATTGTGTTGCAAGTGCTGTTGAGCTCTTACTAAAACTAACGTTATACCGTTTCTTTATGTTTTCAGGTTTGGTGCTCCTGTGGGGGATATAAAGTGACTAAATCACCAGGCAGCAGCAAAATGGGAAGACTGAAATGTTTAGAACTCTGACTGCCTCTGTTTGTTTGTAGCGATGGTACCCCCCTATTCAAAGCACTCTACACAAAAGCCCATGGTGACAAATTTAATCGAACCAAAAGTTTTTCCTCTTTTGAATAAGTTTCGCACTTTTTACTTTGTTTTAAAAAGATATTTATTTAGCCATAGGATCCGACCTGTCCAGTGTATTTCAAGCATGCACGCTATGGCTTGCGACACGGTTGCTATTGATAGTAAGTTACTATTAACATTCAGGGAAACTAATGACTCATCAAATTTTTTCTGATTCCACTCTTGTTTTGTTTTTTTTCCAATGTTTCTTGATAGTGTTTGGTTGTTGAGCTTGGCGTTGGGGATTTACGATGTGTCCTGGTGGTAGTGGTGAGCAGTGGTAGTGGTGAGCAGTAGGTCTCTCCTTTTTTTTTTCTTTTTTTTTTGGGAGGTTCTGAACGGAGTGGAAAGATGGGGAGTTGTGCAGTGCGGTGGATAATTTTGCGAGACATCACAATCACAGCCATTCCTCACCGTTGCAAGTTTGTGGTATATGCTTTGTGCTGCTAAGAAGGTAGCAATAATTTTACATTTTTTTAAAGACTTTTTTTTTCCAGTCTTTATTTCTACGCCTACTCGCTGTTTGACTGAAATGGGGGTGGTGATATTATTTTATGTCTGAGGATAAAGGAGGAATATTTCTGTTTGTTGTGTTCCTTCAAATAAATTTAACCGCAGTACATTTCTATAATATATATATATATACGTTCTCGAACTGGTGGCATTTGTTCATGTAACAAAGAAGAAGAATATCAATCTAGTACTAACTACTTGTCCCGTACAAGGAACTCGACGAAGCAGACTGTGAACTGGATTATCTTTGAGGATATAATAAGCTGTTTGTTTGATCATCCGACGTTCTGTGATCGTTGAAGTTCTTGACTTAATGTAGGATAGGTTTTTCAATTTCTTCACTACGAGTAGAAATTTAGAGGGATTTTTTTTTTACTTTTCACTGTGATTGCCTTTTTTTATAAACTTTTCACTGTGATTTTTTTTAAGGTTTTTTTTTTTTCTTTTTTTTTGAAAATGCCAAAAAAGCAGGTGTTGGTCTTCATATCAGCGACCAGCTGTTTGTTTTGCCTTAAGACTTTTGGTCATTTTTTGCAGTGAGTTTGAAGAGTCAAGTGTACATGTCCTCGCTACATTCATGACCAAAAAAAAAAATGCGTTTGAATGGGTGTTTTTCTGTACTGCAATAGGTCTCCTCATGTATGCCTTAAGGATTTCATTGAAAAGTATAGAAAAAAAACCACCTTGTGAAAATAGTGTACATGCGTTGGTGAGAATTTTTTATGTGTAGAGGGATTAGTCACCTTTTGGTTTTGGGCTTCTTTTTGTTCTTTTTTTTTTGTTCCTATCATGAAGGAATGATGTTTATTTTAGCTTTTTATTTTTTAAAATTAATACGATGCAGTCGGGCATAAATAACTCAAACACGTCAGGGATTGACAAATAAATGTGTTTAACACATTCGTAAATCGGGTTAACCGATAACTAAGAATTAAAGAGATATTAGTGGGGGGATGGCGAATGGCATGAGCTATATATATCGATGATTTTGAGTTTTGCGTGTTTGTGTTATCTTTGCTCGACTGTGCTTGACATTTTTGACTGCTGCCCTGTATTCATAATTTTGTGTAAGCCACAATAGCACATATCAAAAGTGGGCTTCATGCTTGAACTGAAACAAGTTGTACGTACTGCTGGGGATCCAGACCACATACACTCCACGTAATCTTATCTCTTCTTGGAGAAGCTAGCACGAGTTTGCATTTCCAATCTATTTATCCGTTTCCGTTCTTTGAATCTGCTTGTACAGCTTTCCTACCACCATCATAATCCTTCTGTATCAGGACTGAAAGTTTTGTGGTCATGTCCGGTTGTCGGGTCTGTGGTGTCGGTGACTGATAGAAATACAGTAGAAAGGCTACAATTATTACAATGGGAGGTTAATTTGAAGCTGTTTTATCGACAAGTGTGGCAAGTACGGATGGGTTAGGGAGGTATCGACAAGTGTGGCAAGTACGGATGGGTTAGGGACGTGTGATGTAAAACAGTGCTTTCCCACCTGAGTAATGCCGCCCACTAGTCAGCAACTCGGTAGTTCTGGTGGCCGGTGATCACTTGGGTAGTCAGAGGCCTTTCTAATCTAACGTACATGTTTCAGTTCTAAGACATGTTCAAAAGTTTTCCCATCTATTTTCTGAACATGCTGTTGTGTTTATTCAGTAAAGACTTCCGTCAAATGCGTGCGGCATCACAGGAAAGTAGGATAGTTTCAAGTTTGTCAGCTCCAATTAGAATCATGTGAGTATGTTTCTTAATATGGGGGGGGGGGGGGGGAGACTCTTCAACTGTCAATACGGTAAAAGTCAAGTTGTTCCCGCATCCAATCCGGACATTGGGGATTGCCTTGTTAGTGAGACAACTTCCTGGGCCTTTGGCATATTGTGGTAGGGTGGCCAGTTTCTTTCCACACCACCTTTACTTCCCCAACTCGAAGTCAGGTACCCATTACTGCTGGGTGGGCAGGAGGGGGCGAAAAAAATCCGTGTCCGAACGGAGGCTCGAACCCGGACTTTCTGCTTCGGAGATGAGCGCACTAACCACTCCGCCACCACACCCTCCGTCAGTAAGGTATCCGTAGGAAAAAAACTGTAGAGTGTTTAGTTAGTGGATTAGTGCCGTTTTCCTTATGTTACTGTTCAGCTATCTCTGGCTGATTTAGTTCTTTGTCCTGTTTTTTACCACAGATCTTTAGTTTTCCCTCCTGGTCTCAGGCTGATAGGATAATTAGGTTTGCCGATTCAAACTAGTGACTCTTGGGGAATTTTTCCATTTTTAGTAGCGAGAAGTCAAAAGGTATCCACCGCAAAGGCAAGGGGGCTGATGATGATGTTAGAAAATACACGTAGGTCGTAGTAAGATTCTGGAGATAACGTTTCTGGTACAACAATTTAAGGAGAGCTACTCCACTCTCCAGTCCTGCTGTTTTTTATCGATGATTGTTTCTGCATGAACAGACAGAGAAGTTTATGCAACCTTGTTTTGTTGGAATGTGTAATGGTTATTAGTTTGTACATTTGATTGTGTGTGCGAGTGTGTGTGTGTTGAAGTTGAATAATTGAGATCCAGAGTCAGAAGCCTGTTGTATAAGCTTTCATTTATGTTCCGTATCTATGACTGTGCTTGAAACGGCATGACTTTGAACTTTGTCTCTCTCTCTTCCTCTCTCCTTCTGTGTCCTCATGTAGCCATGTCTTTGTATCGTTTCCCGGCTTCTTTCTTCACTAGCCTCAAGTGCACCACACCGGGGAGCTGTGCTCGCTGGTTTATTTATCCATTTTTGGCTCTCCGTTTCCTATCGTCAATATGATTAGTTCCTAGTATATTATTTAGACGAATTGTTGAATGAATTTATCTGTTTGTGACTTTATATTACAATAAAATCAGTTGGCTTCAATAAGTGTTTTCAGTTGTACACGTGATTATTTTGGACAGTATGCAAAACCCAGTCACTATCAATGCAATTTTTTTTTCTTTAGTATTAACAAGAAAAATAGTAAATAGTATGTATTCATTTGCTCCTTTTATTCTTTTATTACTTTCCTCTTCGCTCATATCAGCTCAAAGTATATTTTGTTCTCTTTCTTCATGTCGACAATTTTGGGGCCTTCACGTCTGGATTGTTTGAAGGAAAAAATGCGAAAATGAATTTTGTTTCCGATTGGAGTAGAAGTTTTCCAACATGTTTTCTGTACAAAAACCAACAGAACTGATTCATGGAAATTTCTAGTAATGAGGATTTTGACAAGTGGTTGTTGTGAGTTGTACTTGGGTACATGGCCTGCCAGTGTATTTCTGTCATGATTTTGTGGGTTCTCTTTTGTCCGGAGAATGTGTGAGAGCTTGAGAGCAACGAGATGATGATTAAATTCTTTTCTATTTCACACTTGACTGTTGTGTCTCATGTGTTTGATAGTGCAGTAGAAATTGTCCTCGACGGCCTGACTTTTGATTCAGTAAGAGTTTTACGGCACTTGCAGCACAATAAGGTCGTATAAGTGCCGAAGATAAGATGTAGTAACAAACACCAAAAAAAAAGGAGAGATAAAGACGATAGTTGTTTGATAGGAAAGAAGGAGCAAACCACACCAGAGCACTCGCCAACCACCCAACGGCCAGCCTTTGTCGAGGACACAAAAACAGTTGTCTTAGACGGGTGAATGTCTTGGCCAGTGTCATTGTAATATTAAATGAAAAAAAGCGGGGAGGAAGTGGAAAGTGGTCATTTGTACATTTTTGTTCCTGTAGAATGAGAGGCAAACGCTGTAACCTCTTTACCATACAACGACAGCCCCCAAAGTTCCATCATGTCTATTGTGGAAAAATCTCAACAAAAACAATCAAAGTAAGCCATCTACTGTGACAGTACGCAAAAAGTAAAAGTAAAGTTGTTCCCGCATCCGAAGCCTACATTGGGGAGTGCCTTGTTAGTGAGACAACTTCCTGGGCCTTCGGCATATTGTGGTAGGGTGGCCAGTTCCTTTCCACGCCACCTTTACTTCACCAACTCGAAGTTAGGTACCCATAACTGCTGGGTGTGCAGGAGGGGGCGAAAAAAATTAGTGTCCGAAACAAGGCTCGAACCCGGACTTTCCGCTTCGGCGGAGACGAGCGCACTAACCGCTCTGCTACCGAACCCTCTATGTTCCATGTCTTTTTTAAAAAAGTTTTAGTAAAGGTAAAAGTAAAGCACTCGCAACTGCATAAGGTCATATGAGCACCAGAAGATTAGAGGTGTTACAAGAGAGTAACAAACATAAAAAAGAAGGGGAGATGAGGACGATAGATGTTTGATAGGAAAGAAGGAGCAAACCACACCAGAGCACCTGCCAACCACCCACATTCCATGTCTATTATGGAAAAATCAACAAAAAAATTAAAGTACGCCACCTACAGTGACAGTATTATGCAAAATAACAACATTGTAATTCCAGAAAAAGGACAAAGGAGTCACCATCTGTTAGTACAGTAGTATGATGTGTATTAGAAAATGTACTCCCACAAGAGAGAAAACATGTGATAATGACACCTCCAAATCGTTTGAAACAAGATCACTTTCATCCTTCCAAACAAATCATAATCCACCATCAAAAGCACATCAATTATTATCAAAATCAAAGTAAAGTCGGTTCCTACCTAACCAAATCATAGACAATGAAATAGATGGACAAACAGCCCAGGACAGCTACAGTAAAGTAAAGGTCGAGTCAACTCGAAGAAGCAAAAAATGTACTAGAGAAACAAGTACAAGAACATGAAAATATTATTTATATATATATAATATGCTTCCAATCAACAAATCCCATCACATCAGGAAGTGGGGTGATCTATTTGGAGGAAATTTCGCCTTCCGAATAAATATAATTTGTAAGCAAGTGTCCATGGGTACTTTCAGCTGACTCTGCATTTGTTATTCCACTTGGTCAAATGACAGTTTTGGGATCTACAAGCTCTCGTTACACAGCTTGAAATACAGAATGAGGGGAAATCATTAAAAAAGTGTGATGGAAAGGCCATGACAATTAAACACTCCTACTTCTTTTGATTGTTACCCTGTGGTCCTAGAACTAGAACTACATGTAGTACAAACTGTACCGGGAACTAATTGGTGGACAAGTCACAGTAAGTGTAAGAAAGCGTTCAACAAAAACATGGTTAACATCAACAAAAACAAAAACCACAGCCGCATCAGAAAGCACTAAAACCATTTAGACTAAAAAAATTAGACGAGAATGAAAATTACAGACTGAAATTAAATCTTCAGAAGTTGCAGTCAGCCGTGAAGACAAAACCAAAACACCCAAAACTAGCTGGGACAACTATTGATTACAACTACAACAACACAGTACCAGATCAGATTCCTTGTTCACATCACACCACAAGAAGCTCTGTGATAAATTCACAACAGCTCTCCTAACCCATAGACACACATGATTTCTACTCTTTTTTAAAAACATCCCCCCCCCCCCCACTAATATCTTCAAAAGAGAATAACTGCTGAGGTAATAGAAATTTTCACATTTTCGAACATAGATTTACTGATACTGATATACTTGTACAAAAAAATTACCATAAAACAACTGTACAAAAAAACTACAATAACTAATAATAATAATAATACACGGATACTGAGCAAAGCAATGAAGTCAATGCTAATATAAGCTAGCTTCATTGTCTGGTATAATAATATACATCCAGTTATTCAATTCTAAGTAAAGAAACAAAGCTACAAAAACGAAAGAACTCAAAACAAGGTATTCAAACTTTGACCGATATAGTCTATATGGTTTGGTTAGTAGTTAGCCTTTCATAGATGCAACCATGAAAGAACCACTGTTTAAAAAATGTTTCTCTCCTTTCTGATCTACGACAAAGGATATAACTGCTGGGGTGAAGAGTTTTTCCTTTCACAATGCCTTCAACTCTTTCTTGACATTCAGTTCATCCATAATACCAGATGATACAGCATACCAAAAAAAATGAGATGTATTTAAACATAGCATATATATATATGACAAAAGAAGAGGTAAAACAGAAATGTAAAAAAAATATTGATGCACCATTACAAAAAAACAGGACTGGCAAGTCCTAAATCGACTAAGAAGAGATTTAAGACGCGTGATCTTACAGAGTTTTCCTCATAGGGCACCACCCAAGACCATTCCTATTCAAAGTAGGCAGAACGTATAAAGTGACTGAACAATTTCCCTCTTCTACAGACATAGAAAGTGTCTGAACAATTTCCCTCTTCTACAGACATAGAAAGTGACTGAACAATTTCCCTCTTCTACAGACATAGAAAGTGACAGAACAATTTCCCTCTTCTACAGACATAGAAAGTGTCTGAACATTTTCCCTCTTCTACAGACATAGAAAATGTCTGAACATTTTCCCTCTTCTACAGACATAGAAAGTGACTAAACATTTTCCCTCTTCTACAGACATAGAAAATGTCTGAACATTTTCCCTTTTCTACAGACATAGAAAGTGTCTGAACATTTTCCCTCTTCTACAGACATAGAAAACGTCTGAACATTTTCCCTCTTCTACAGACATAGAAAGTGTCTGAACATTTTCCCTCTTCTACAGACATAGAAAGTGTCTGAACAATTTCCCTCTTCTACAGACATAGAAAGTGACTGAACAATTTCCCTCTTCTACAGACATAAGACACAAAATTCACCACCATTCTCCTCACCCAAACAAACACAACAAAGTCACTCAAAACAATAAAGTCCTCCCCTGCAGATATCTGGAAAAGAGAATATCTGATGAGATATATGGAGAGATGTTCACGTGTTCAAACGCAGTTTCACAGATATACCTTTACAAAAGAATGACCATAAGACAACTGTACAAAGAACTTCGATGACGAATAAACAGATAACTGAGTAAAGCAACGAGGCCCGCACCGACATCCAACAGCTTCCTCGTCAAGTATATCAGTCATGAGCCTCTTCCATCCAGTGTGACATTCAAAACATTCCACAGAAAACAGAACTCAACAAAGCAACTTTCAGTAAATTTAAGGTCTTTCCAGAGCTTTCTAATTAAGAAATGATTTCATGAAAAATGCCAGCATTTCATAACAAAAGTATTAGTATTACACTGGTTATGGTATAATCATGTAAGTCATTCAGACATTCATTCACTAGTTTGAAGGTTTACTAGATTCACTGAATCCATTTCATACGTATAAAAATGCATGATTTGCTTTCAAACGTCACCCTGTGCATGTACAAAAACCCTCAAAACTTTTCGTCAAAACACATGAAAATGACCTTTCTCTGAATTACGTTCGAAAGACATCGTGCAAAAAACCCAAATAGTACGATTTTCTCTCCTATGTGATCGGACAATTCCGCTGGGAAGTTTGTGAAATTGACAAAGTTTTTAACAATTTAAAGAGACAATTTCGACCATAAATAATGAAAACTGTTAAGATCTTGAGTCCAGTGTATCAACCGAAACAAAATACCATCAAGTAAAATATGTAGTAACTTTTACATTAAAGATTAGCATGCATGAAATTCTGCTAGAGAAACATGAACAATAACCTTGATATTTCCAGCACATCCCGAGTAAGATACACATAAACACTGCCAAAGTAAGTAAATGATATTAGCAAATCTATAACTTTTAATTTCAAGACAAAAAGAGGAATGTGTACCAAACTGAAAAAATAGAAAAAACCCACAACACTCTCGCCAGTCTCGCCTCTCAGCACGTCACCGCCGCGTTGATTCATCCTAAGGAGCACTTCCCTTATAGAGACGGCACAGCATAGTTGAGGAACTTCAGGGTCACTTCGTAGCCCAAGAAACATGCCTGGGTGGAAAGACAAAGGAAAGCTCGGTAACGACTAGTTTCTCTTTTCTTTTTTTTTCTTTTTTTATTGTAAAGAGGGGCACATCAACACAATAACTGTAAATTAGTTTCGTTTTAGTAAGAGTTTTACGGCACTTGCAACTCAATAGGGTCGTATAAGTGCCGAAGATTAGAGGTGTTACAAGAGAGTAACAAACACAAAAAAGAAGGAGAAAAGATAAGGACGATAAATGTTTGATAGGAAAGAAGATGCAAACCACACTAGAGCACCCACCAACCACCCGACTAGTTTCTGTATTTTTTATTTAGAGTAAAGAAGGGCACATCAACAGAATAACGGCCATTTAGTGCTGGGGGAGAAAAAGCAAGACTGACAAACAGAAAAAAACAGACGGAAACAACAAGGATTTTTCTAATAAAATCCTATAAAAATAAGACATGACAATTAGGAGAGGTATTGACCAATTCTGGAAAAAAAAACATTTCCTTGAAGTACGACAAAAAAGATACATACTGCTTCTTTAAATAACACACATTTTGTCAATTTGTCGAAAGGGAACATAAAACTGAAGCAAATTTTTACTGGTCAAACTATCTTCTTCTTTTGCGACAGCACAAGTTTTAACAACAGAAAACCTCAAAAGAGTTTCTGTCAGAACAAATGACAAACATGTGGGAAGAAAACATAACGTCATAAATTCTCATACAAACAAAACAAAGAAAAAAAACCCTACTCGTAAGTATCTTTCTGCAGTGTAAGCTAAATGGGAAAGAAATATCCTCCCCACACATACAAGCATACTTAAGACAGAAACAAAAACAACATATCACACTAGAATAACTGTGACAAAAAATAGACAGCTTTCATCTAAACAAAGACCACACATCACACTGCAATAAACTGTGACATAACATAGAGAGCATTCATCTAAACAAAGACCACACATCACACAGCAATAAACTGTGACATAACAAAGACTCCTTTCATCTAAACAAAGACCATACATCCCACAGCAATAACTGTGACATAACATAGACAGCTTTCATCTAAACAAAGACCACACATCACACAGCAATAAACTGTGACATAACATAGAGAGCATTCATCTAAACAAAAACCACACATCACACAGCAATAAACTGTGACATAACATAGAGAGCATTCATCTAAACAAAAACCACACATCACACAGCAATAAACTGTGACATAACATAGAGAGCATTCATCTAAACAAAGACCACACATCACACAGCAATAAACTGTGACATAACATAGACTCCTTTCATCTAAACAAAAATCACACATCACTGAAAAAAACTGTAACATAATATAGACTGCTTTCATCTACACAAAAATTAGATCAAAACTAGAGGGTTCACTAAGAGCCCTGGCAAAAAAACATTTTTCAATATGAACAACTGGAACACAGATTTATTCACAATGATTTTTTTATTTAAAAAAAAAAGTCTTGGCAATAACAGCAAAAAGAAATACGAGCTTGGTTCCAAAATCAACAATATGTCATTACGCATCATCCTCACTTCCTGCACTAGCCCTGCTTTCCTGATAGCATTTTATCGACCTTCAGAATCATTTGATGTTACATTTAATGTCTACATTTAAATTTCTCTGTGCATGTACCCATAGCATTATCTGATGCATGTACTCACAGCATTGGCAGGGAAGTCTAAACGTTTGACCCTTCACTCTACTTCTGTGGTAAAGTTTCTCTGTGCATGTACACAGCATTATCTGATGTATGTACTCACAGTATTGGCAGGAATGTCTAAAACTTTTAACGTTTCTCTTTATGTCTACAATAAAGTTTTTCCGTGTATGTCATGTACTCACAGCATTAGCTAAAAAAGCTCAAACATTTGACATTTCACTTTACGTCTAAATTTAAGTTTCTCTGTGCATGTACACAGCATTATCTGATGTATGTACTTACAGCATTGGCAGGGAAGTCCAAACGTTTGACCCTTCACTCTACTTCTATGGTAAAGTTTCACAGCATTATCTGACGTATGTACTCACAGTATTAGCTGGAATGTCTAAAACGTTTGACGTTTCACTTTACGTCTGCGGTTAAGTTCCTCTGGGCATGTACACAGCATTATCTGATGTATCTACTCACAGCATTAGCTAAGAAAGCTCAAATGTTTGACATTTTACTCTACTTCTATGGTTAAGTTTCTCTGTGCATGTATTCACGGTATTAGCTAAGAAAGATCAAACATTTGACGTTTCACTAAAATACATCTACATTTAAGTTTCTCAGTGCATGTACTCACAGCATTAGCTAAGAAAGTTTTTAAAATTTGACATTTCAGTTTCTCTGTGCATGTACACAGCATTATCTGATGCATGTACTCACAGCATTATCTGAGAAGTCTAAAACGTTTGAAGTTTCACTTTACTTCTATGATTAAGTTCCTCTGTGCATGTACACAGCATTATCTGATGTATGTACTCACAGTATTAGCTAAGAAAGCTCAAACATTTGATGTTTCACTTAAATACATCTACATTTAAGTTTCTCTGTGCATGTACACAGCACTAGCTGATGTATGTACTCACAGCATTTGCAGGGAAAGCTCTCAGCATGATGGGAGTGAAGCCCTTGTACAGGCTCATGATGCCTTCCTCTCTGAGGATCACCTTGGCAACATCGCGGATTCCGTTAGGGAAAGCACCATGTGGGGCTGCAGAAAAATTTTAGTTTATGTTAAAGTTTTACAGCATTTGCAACACAAAGAGTAAGATAATCTAATGCCAAAGATTAGAGGTGTTGCTACAGGACAGTCACATACAAAGAAAAGAAGATATAAGTACAATACATGATGCTTGACAGGAAAGATGGAGCAAACCACACCAGAGCACCCACTAACCACCAATAGGCCGCAGAAAACAAATTCAAACAGTACAACAAATTCTAAAACCACACAATGTATGTTTTAAAATCCAGAACGTCACTGTCATCAGAAGTCCATACGTAGTTTTATACAAATACTGCTTTTGACTAAATGTGCTGCTAAAAAGGAAGTATAAACAAGAAAATAAGCATGCAAAGGGATGATAAACAATCGAAAAGTCATTATAAAAACGGCTCTGACTGTCTTAGTCACAATTTTTCATGATCAGCATGTCAAACAAGTCTACAGCACAGACTGATAATTTTTCACTCAGATCTCACGCAAGATGAGCTTAAAGGTCATTTGTGGTAACTGCCCTCAGTTGGTGATTTGGGAAAATCGTACGAGTGCAACAATTGATATCAGTCGTCAGTGATTTAAAACAATGGGAAAAATTCATATGCGTTAAACAGAGGAAAACTGAGGACTTCTGGTGCGAATATTTGCTTTCCTGAAAACGACCCTGCAATACTACAATAAGCACAAAAAATATGGGCCCTTCAAAGTTAAATATACTTTTCTTCATTCAAGAGGATGAGAACTGTATAAAAAAAAAAGTTTCCTGAACACACAGGGAGTCTAGAAGAAGTGACCTAATCCTGTTTTGTACTGACCGGTCTGCAGCCTAGACTTGAGCACATCTGGAGGAATGGCCACTGCCCAGTTGAAGATTCCAGCCACACCCCCAGCCACAATGGTCCGCCCAATGCTCATGTCGGAGCGGCTGCAAGAATGGGGGGGGGAATCAAGTGTATTTGAAACAGTCATAGATATCTCATACAAGTTATTTCTAGTGTATTTGAAACAGTCATAGATATATCAAGTGTTTTTGAAACAGTCATAGATATCTCATACAAGTTATTCCTCGTGTATTTGAAACAGTCATAGATATATCAAGTGTATTTGAAACAGTCATAAATATATCAAGTGTATTTGAAACAGTCATAGATATCTCATACAAGTTATTTCTAGTGTATTTGAAACAGTCATAGATATATCAAGTGTATTTGAAACAGTCATAGATATATCAAGTGTATTTGAAACAGTCAAAGATATCTCATACAAGTTATTTCTAGTGTATTTGAAACAGTCATAGATATATCAAGTGTATTTGAAACAGTCATAAATATATCAAGTGTATTTGAAACAGTCATAGATATCTCTTACAAGTTATTTCTAGTGTATTTGAAACAGTCATAGATATATCAAGTGTATTTGAAACAGTCATAGATATATCAAGTGTATTTGAAACAGTCATAAATATACCTAGTGTATTTGAAACAGTCATAAATATACCTAGTGTATTTGAAACAGTCATAAATATACCTAGTGTATTTGAAACAGTCATAAATATACCAAGTGTGTGTATGTGGTGAAACACCAAACCAATGTGCCAAGATCAGGACAATTAAGATGTATCTTATCTTATCATATCTTATGTTATGTTTTCTTATCATATCTTGTTATGTTATGTTATCTTATTGTTTCTTATCTGTACTCACTCTCCGCCAGCTGGCGTGAGCACACGCTGCAGCCACTCGTAGCTGGTGAAGTACATGCCGGTGGCAGGCACGTCTCTCAGCAGGGTGGCAAATGTCCCGCGGTACACGCTGCGGATGCCACCCTCGCGGTAGATCTTCTTGGCGCAGTCCACAGGGCCTTTGTACTTGCGGTCAGCCACGCTAGCCTCCTGCTGGATCTGTGACATACACAAAGGGAAGAAAGGGAGAAAGAGATGATGAAAGTTCCGACAACCTCATACTTGACACACACGAGGGAAGAAAAGAAAGAGAGAGATGATGAAAGTTCCTACAGTACAACACCATACTGCCACACACCAGGGAAGAGAAGGAAGAAAGATTATGAAAGTTCCTACAACGCTGCACTGACACACACACGAGGGAAGAAAAGGAAGAGAGAGATGATGAAAGTTCCTACAGTACAACACCATACTGTCACACACCAGGGAAGAAAAGGAAGAGAAGGAAAAGAAGGAAAAGAAGGAAGAAAGATGATGAAAGTTCCTACAGTACAACGCCATACTGACACACACCAGGGAAGAAAAGAAAGAGAAGGAAGAAAAGGAAGAAAGAGATAATAAAAATTCCTACAACGCCATACTGACATACGTGGTACGCTATGAAATTGCACTATTTTCTACCTCCTAACATACCAAGGAATATAAATCACTTCACATAAATTAAATGGGGTTAACAATGCAACCAAAAATTTAAAAAAAGAAAAAATCATTTTTTAAAAACCTGCAGCCTGTTGCGGTAATCAGCCAGTAATAGGAGTATACAGCTGCTACAAAAGAGCATCATGTTCATTGCCAGGTGTGAATTGGACAGGTGTGTAAAACAAAAAAATAATAAAAAGTTCAAACCCTGATGGGAATCTCTTCTTTCTTGCTTTCAACTAATTACCCATTTTTATATGACCTTTTCACAACAGGAATTCGGTGCTTTCAAATGGACTTACAACAAAACTAGAAATATGGAGTAAACACAGGATAGAGCTAAGCTCAACAAGTCGCCACGCCACCACAGGGCTTTCTTGTCGTATCTCCACTTTTTGATTAACAGTGAAAATGTGACTTCTTCTTTTTTTAAGCTCACCTCAGTGCTTTCTTGTCGTATCTCCATTTTTTAAAAATTTGACAGGGAAAATGTGACTTCTTCTTCAGCTTACTCTTTGTTATGACATGAACAGTTTTCACAGTTATTAAAAATGGAGAAATGACAAGAAAGCACTACTGATGTCGCGAAGAGGCTCAACTAGAAACTGACCTGCAGGAGACACTTGATCCTCTCCCCGGGCGCCATGATCACAGTGGTGAACACACCGGCCAACATGCCTGCCTTGAACAGTTGGGGGTAACTGAGAGGACAAACGACAGACCAAAATCAAACACAAAATACCCCAAAAAAAGCCTTCGAGAATTGTAAATAACTGAATGGAGAAATGATAGATGAAAAACAACAACTGAAATAGGGGGCAAGACAAGCAAGCAATTTCCTCAACTGAGGCACAATGTAAAATTTTGTGTTTGATGCCATATTCTTGAAATTAAACTCTTTTATTATTTCATACTTATAAATTGTAAAAACTTCACCAATAAACATGATGAATCTATTTCTTTAAGGCTTGAATCCGAGAAGTAACTTTTTGTCAGCAAGCTTCACAATTCTTTTTATGCCATCAAATAGTGTCTAAGTGAAACCGTCACGAGAGTCGTCTCCGGCAAACTTACCTGAGCTCCTCGTCAGGATGTTTCTGCTGCAACCTCTTGCCGATGCCAAAGCCCAGGAAACAAATGGCAAAGATAGGAGCCACACCGGTGATGGGGGCGGCCATGCCTTTGTACAAGCCGAAAAAGCCCTGAGGAAAATCAACAATTCAATAGAGTCAATTAACAAGTTAATAGAGCCAGTAGACAGAGACGAGATAAATCATTTTTTTAAATGTCCATAAAAAACAGTCATCGTTCACGATTAACAGATGAGATAAATCCTTTCTTCAAATGTCCATACAGCATCATTTACAGATAACAAAGAGTTTTCAGAGATGGGACTTTCAAAATACACAAAATTCCCTCAACAATCCATTCCTGTCTATCAAATGAAATTCTCCAAGCAAGGAAAAATATTGGCTACCGTTCTCAGTCAGTCACTCTTTCTCAAGGATAGTTTTCAGTTTTCTCCATTTATTCTTCTTTGCTGTCTTCTTACTCTCCATAATTCTCCCCCTTACTCTTTCTTTCTCTCTTCTGTCCTCATTTTTATAAACTTGTCCTTATTTTTATAAACTTGTCATCGTTTTGTAACAATCCTTCCATGCAGAAAGTGGTACAGAAGGGGGGGGGGGGGAGACCCTGTGCACAGACTAGAATTTTGAGCAATTAGGGAATCTAGACCTGCTTATATCTGTTTCGCCGTGTGGAAGTAGCAAAAAGCTTTACCTCTACTCACTTCTAAGGGCCTTGTGCATCAAACAAAAAACGTTTATTTCTCAAAAAGCTCCTTGACATTAAAAAAAACAAAAAAACAAACCAAATGTGCCAACAGTACCTCTTTCCTGACAGTCTTCATGGCACAGTCAAAGGTGCCCTTGAAGAGAGGGGCTTCCCCAGGCTTGGGTACCGGCATGGTCTGGAGGCGCACCTGAATAACAAAAAATAAAATAGAAAGAAGTAAGTATTTAGTTGGGTTTTTAAAAATAGTTTTAGTAAGTGTTTTACGGCACTTGCAACACAATAAGGTCATATAATTTCCGAAGATTAGAGGTGTTACAAGAGAGTAACAAACAAAAAAAAAAGAAGGAGAGATAAACGATAGACGTTTGATAGGAAAGAAGAAGCAAACCACACCAGAGCATCCGCCAACCACAAAAAGTTTTCAGTTTGAATTTTTAAAAAAACAAGGGAAAAAAACATTTGCTGTGAGAAGGAGAATGAAAGAAAGCATATATGTAAAGTGTCTCATTCTGTGAAAAGAAACAATTTGACCCCGCAGTGCTATGTGACAAATAGAAACCTTCTCATTGGCTGCCAGCCACGATTTTCATCTAATCCACACACAACCGTTCCTTAGAAAATCAAACATCTTTCATTTTGACTTTGAAGGATTTAATCAATGTTGTGCAAAAATTGTAGTTTATGAACCTTTTTCCAGAAAAATCTGGCTTCCTTCAATGTGTGGCATCATGGTGAAATCAGGCACTTGTCAAAACAATGAAATCAAAAGAGACCTACATTTTTTCATTTCTTGTGAAATTTTTATTGATTTTTAGGAGGTGCTCAACAACTTTCCCGTCCATTTTAACACACACCTCTGTGTGTGTTTTACTATCTTTTTAAAACGTTGATTAAAGTAAAGGAACAAAAAATATAAATTTGCAGTTTCCAAGGACACTTAATTAAGCTTTGGATGTCACCAAACTTTGGCGTTCATTTTCTCACTAATAGTACACATGACATCAGGCAACATCAACTTCAAATAGCTCGACTTCTATTCAAGATAGACGAACATTTTTTCCTATCAAAAACAAGTAAAAAAAAACAAACTTTAAATTGACACCAATAACTACTTGAGCCCACAAATTGACGAGCACAGACTCTATCAGGTCATGACACAAATATATCACCCATGGTCAAAATCCAACAGGAATTCAACAAAATTTTCTGTGGTGTGCATTAGGTATTAGGAAGAAGTCGCATTTTCAATTATTAAAAAAACGGAGATAGGACAAGAAAGCACTGAAGTTACGAGGAGCTCCTCTTGGACACTATCATTATACACGAATATAATATAGGAAAAAAACGCAAGGAGATGTGAGAAGAGGTTGTTTGTACCAGGTGATTATCTTGGATAGGTGGCCGTAAGGGCGGGTTCAACTGTGGTTCATTTGCTGAGAGCAGCATCAAACCTCATTCTGTTTCCGTGTTGGGACAAATTTGAGGCTTCCTTTCACCATATGAGAAAAAAATTTAGAAAACACACCTGGCCACAGGGAAAGATAAGAAAGAATCATGCGTCCCAATCACAATCAGAGGTTATCTTGTCTTGCTCTTACATAGAGATAAAACTATTACAACCTCATGTTACACTCAGAGACTAGCATGGCGACATTTTTTACACATGAACAAAACCAGCATGTCAGCATTTGTCTCTGTCTTAACTCTTTATCTCTGAGGGGGGGAAACCCACTATGCCGGGGCCCTTTTTTGGTAATATATCTAAAAAAGACCAAAACGCCAGTGATACATGGGTCATTAAATCGAAATTAGCAAACCTATTATGATAGTACTTCATCTAATGAATGAACTTCCGGTAAAAGAGACCTGTTTTGGGCATTTGCCGAAAAGTAATTTGATGTCGAAGTCGTCGAAAAAGAATGTACCCGAGCCGCTGGGAGAGGCTTACCGGATATAAAGAGTTAATGAAAGCGCAAATGGTGCTCGGGTGTTATCCCTGGGTGTTTTTTTTTTTATTTTTTATTTTATTTTTATGAAACAACTGTTAACGTTGTTGTACTCAGCATCAAAGAAGAATTAGGAAACCATTCTTTGTAAGAGTTGTTGTTGTTGTTGTTGTTGTTGTTGTTAGCGATCCAGTAGCATCTGAGCGTTAACTCTTCTGCATGATGCCATTCGGTAATAGTTGCATGTTTGTTCTAATTGCTCTTTGTAAAAGAGTAAGTTAAGGCAACAGTGAAAAGACAAATTAATGTAGGGATAGAGGAAGAGAACAGTTGCAGCAACAGGTGCAGCATCATCATTAACGCTATTCTTTTCATCAACAATTTTGCTTTTAATATAGTCTAATCATCTCAGAAAATAAATCAGTCAGTATTTGGGTACATTTGAAAGACTGACCGTGAGCAAAAACAGGCCCATAAACAGAATGCAGAGCACCTGCTGTTTAGTTTAGTTTTAGTAAGAGTACACTTGCAACACAATAAGATTATATATATAAGTGCTGAAGAGTAGAGGTGTTACAAGCGAGTAACAAAAAAAAAAAGGAGGAGAGATCAGGACGACAGATGTTTGACAGGAAAGAAGGAGCAAGCCATACCGGAGCACCCGACAACCACCCACTGAGCATCTGCAATGCACCCACTCATCTCAATAATTTCTACTAAAGGACAAAGAGTCAAACATTTATTATAAAAATAAAGTCAGTAAAGACAAGCATGGAGCTTGCCTTTACCCTAATATGACCAACTGACATTTTCAACCAATATTCTCTCCATGAAGCAGTCTTCAACTTAAAAAATTAACATTCTGCTCATTTGCATATATTCACATCAGCAGCTGTAATTTAAAAGAAGCCAAAAATAAACTCAACTGTGACACATGTGTGCACAAAGCATCCAGAGGCGCTGTATTGATTACAGAGTATCCAGTTACCTGTGTCCGCATAATTTATCAGTTTAATTGCCGTTTTGAAAAAGGCCGTCTACCTTTATTACACCTGTCCGAACACAAAATTAATTTGTATGCACCCCCAAATAGGCAGAGATGAAAATTGTAGGCTCTTAATTTGTGCTGTGTCAACAAAACTGCTGGCCTAAAAAAAAAAAACTGTCTACCCTGAGGAAAGTGTGTGTAATGGAATTTTAAGTCCTGAACAATGAGATGAGCACAGAAACAGGGTGACTGATCACTTGAGAAAGGGGATCTTGGGACTAAATGTCCTTTTTGTAAATAATTTATTTAAAATGTCAGAATGGGAATTTTCCACTTTTATTTTAATTTTATATACGAAAATTTCATTTCACTGCCTAATCTAGGCTCCATCTTTTTTATGGTGCATTACAATAAAGGTAATTACAAATTCCTGTTAATGGGAAAAGAGAGGGTAAAAATATAAGATAGTCTATAGATATATATATATTATATCTTTCAATCAAAAGACTTTGTGAAACAGAAACAGAAGGAATGGAACTGAAATTAACTTTGTTTGCAGCTTGCCCCTTGAGAGTGGGGAAAGAGCAAGAGTGAGAGAGAGAGAGAGAGAGAGAGAGAGAGAGA